CAGATCCAGATTTTGTCCGGTAAGGGAATATTCAAAATTGGTTCAGCTGACACACCACCAATTTTGTTATTCTCCTTTGTACGGTACACACGAAAGAACAAAGGAGATGACAACTGTTTTCCTTTTAAAATAACAACTATTTTCTACATTTTCTACAAATACGTTCCTTGCTTGCTTCTCACGCAAAAAAAGCCACTCTAGGAGGGCCTTTGGAATTCCAAATTTGTTTAAAAGAGAAATCCCAACTGTCATCCCCAACCCCACCAATCAGCATTCTGTAGTATGAATGGACACAAAAGAGTTCTTCAAACTCTTGAATTTCCTAGTCATTTAAGTGCCTATTCACTCTGATAGACCATACGACACAATCATTGCAAATCCAGTATGCATCAGCCACTAACATCGATTTCAAATGGGCAATCTAAAAAATGCACGGAAACCTATTCTGCAAACTGTCATCACCAACCCATTTGTCACACCAAAAACTAATTTTATTCCCTTCCCCCAGGTTCCATTTAATACATTTGTAGAACCTCACTCATTGTTTCATTATATTCTTTCACAAGCCTCGTCCATGAGGTCTACAACTGGCCCCATCACATACTACATTCAAATCACCCATCGGACAAGCACAATTTTTCTCCATAGCTCGTAATCTTCATTCAAAAACTTCCATAACCATTTTCCTTGAAAAGTCAAATTTATGTTGACAAGAGATCTTATCCCCAAACACCACTATGAATCGGTTTTTTAACCTCCTCCCAATTAACCAAATGGTACTTCCTTTTCCATCTTCGTCGCCCCATAGAAATCTACATTGAATATTGTCCAATTTCTTTGCAATATCTTTAGGGATGGTGAGTATCGACAGGTAGTAAACAGGGAGGTTGGACATAGTGCTTTTGATTAGAGTAAAGCGGCCTCCCTTTGATAGAAAATTCCTTTTCCAACCCATAAGTCTATTTTCAAACATTTCAATAACCAGTTCCCAAGTATACTTATCTTTGAATTTGGCCCCCAAAAGAACTTCCAAATATTTCATAGGAAACATCACTGCCTTGCACCCCAAGACCTTGGCATATTCGCTGCCATCCCCATTACTCCCACTTCTAGCAAGCTCTGATTTTAAGAGGTTTATTTTCAATCCCGATGCAGCCTAAAAACAATGAAGGATACAGTGAAGGTGTCACAGATTCCTGATATCAGGTTGACAAAAAATAAGTGTGTCATCAACGAAGAAAAGATGAGATACTTCAATCGCGTTTGACATTTTCCCAACCAAGACACCTTTCAATAAATTCAGTTCCTTGGCTTTACCCAATAACCCATTCAGAGCCTCCATCACGATGATGAAGAATAGAGGAGAGAGGGATCACCCTGTCTAATCCCACGGGAAGCAGTAAAAAATTCAAATGGCCCACCATTTACCAGTACTGCAAAAGTAGTGGTAATACAAGATTACATCCATCTCCTCCATTTTGTACGGAAACCCATATAATCCAACATATAGTCAATAAAATACCAACTTACATGGTCATAAGCCTTTTCCATGTCGAGTTTACAAACCAACCCGTCAATTTTATTGGCATATATACTTCATTAGCAGCCATGACAACCTCCAGAATCTGCCTTCCTTTGACAAAAACATGTTGACAATCCCCTATCATTTCCCCAGGCACTCAAGAGAGTCTCTTTGCCAACACTTTAGCAATTAATTTATACATACAGGCCACCAAGCTGATTGACCGGAAATCCCTGAATTCATTAGTGCCTATTTTTTTGGGATGAGAACCAGGAATGTAGAATTAAGAGATTTTACAAACCTTCCGGATTTATGTAATTCATTAAACATACATATCACATCCTCTTTGATCAAATGCCAACATTCATGGACAAATTTCATATTAAACCCGTCGGGCCCCGGATATTTATTTCCTTTAGCAGATTTTAGACATTCTAGAACCTCCTCTTCTGTAAACGCTGCCTCCAGAAACTGTTTGCTAACTAGGGACAACCTTTTAATCTCCAGCCCATCCAAAGTAGGTCTTTTATTGAAAGGTTCCATGTGCAGATTAGGAAAGAAACTCTTGGCAGCCTTTCTAATCTCATTGTTCCCCTTTATATCACTATTACCGACCCAAACTTCGCTGATATAATTGATTCTTCTTTTATGCAACACAATAGCATGGAAATATTTGGTATTACGGTCCCCTTCTTTGATCTACTTCTCCCTAGAATTCTGCCTCCAAGATGTTTCCTCTACTTTTAAAATAGTAGCCAGCTTAACTTTCAAGTAGTCCCTTCTTGCTCTGTCATCATCAGAAAGCCTGTCAACACCCTCTTTATAATCTAATCCATCAATCTCCTCTAGAATGTCGTTGGATTCCATTTTATCCTTTTCAATCTTCTCTTTGGCCCAAGTTTTGACCGCATTCTTAATTGCTTTAAGTTTACGAGCAATTCTGAAACTAGCACAGCCGTGCACCGAGGTAGAGTTCCGCACAGATTCCACCAAAAAGCTAAAATTCTCCTTCTCCAACCATCTGTTATCCAATCTGAATGGGATAGGGCACCAAAAAAATACCCTCAGCCACAAGGCATATGGGGAAGTGATCGGAGATGGGCCGTTGGAGGACTTTTTGGCACACCCCTCCCAATTGTGGTAAGAGATCAGAAGAAACCAAAAAGCGAACAAGCCGAGACCAACATCTTTGATTGGATCAGGTCATTGTCCTCCACCAAGGGGAATATCGACAAGATTCAATAAATCAATATTCTCTTTAAAGTCACTAGCTACAGATAAAGAGAAGTTGCATCCATTATGTTCCTCCTTACTCAAAATCATATTGAAATCTCCCCCCACTATCCAATTATCACGCCACATATTTTTGCACTCCTCCAATATCTTCCTTTCCTCTCTATTTCCTCTACAGTAAACAGAGTATAGGTCCACTCAAACCCCCTCGGCTACATTTAAACCTACATGAGATCGTACAATTTTTAATCACACCTTATCACAGCTGACATTGTCCTCCCTCCACAACATCACCATACCCTCAGCAGTGCCATTTGCCAGTAAAACAGTCCATTTTAAGTTGTTTATCGCCTACAAGCTTTTAATAACTTCGTTACTATTGAAGGCATATCCTTGGTTCGAGGCTTTTTAATAGGGCGGTTCACAAGTTCAAAAGCCATGACAATAAGCTTCCTCCAACCCCTTCCATTCTTGCCCTGAGGAAAGAAAATCCTCTTTGCCTTCTGGTTTCCATTCACTGACAAAACTAAATATTCACCTCGATTATTTTTTCCACACGTCAACTAGAGCTCGTAACTCCTTCTCACTAGATGCTTCGTCCATACACCCCTCTTTCTTTTCCACCAAAACTTTTCCAGGCCATCCACGAACCATTTAAGTTCCCCCTTATCTAGAAAGATTGATTTTCGAAAACCCTTCCCATTTTCATAGATTCTCAACCCTTCCACCTTCCTTCCTTCACAAACTAGATCAAAAGATTTGTTATCGCATGTGAAGTACCGTCTCCCGTACGCACTTATGAATAAATGGGAAGGGTTTCCATTCACGGCAATAGATGGAACATACTGCTGCAGGACATCTAACAATAAGTTCAACTAGGCTAAGGAACAGGCATTCCCCCCAACCGAAAGGAAAAAAGAAAAAAAAGGCACATGTATTGACATTTGAATATAATAAAGGATTCAAATGATTTTGCCAAAAGAATTTCTACAAGAAGGTTTTGTAACCAAGAATCTAACACATAGAGGAATTAAAGGGGACAGCCCATGTGAGGGGAGGGGTTTAAAGTGGTTTAATGATATTCAGCAACTCTTTGAAATGATTGATTGATGAAGAGACAAAGAAACAAGATGTTTCCATGTTGTTTAAGCATCAGGTAGAAACTTCCAAATATTCAACATTGAGCTTGGTCAATTTTATAACGTACCAACAAGCATAATATTAAGTAAGATAAAAGTCTGAACTAAGGTAGCATTCTACTTCCAAATCAATTTCAGATCTAATTAAAGTTTGGCAATTCCTCCTTTGACATGAAGGAATACAAATTGAATTAAAAATATGAATGAACTTGATTAAGTTATGCATCAATTTTATAATTTATTACTAACTTCTATATATCAAACAATTAATATTTAGAAATTGAATGGAAATAGAATAAGTTTGAACCAAGCAACAAAAGAGTAACAATATAAGTTGGCTCACCTTACACTTACCACAAGGATGTAGTTAAATCCAATTGCCAAGAAAGAAGAAAGAAGAATAACTACAGATGCTAAAGTGCTCATGTAACGTCCAAGTATTAGTGTATAATTCTGTTACTTTGGTCTCATCTATTCTATTTCATCACCACATTTTTTCTATAGCTGTTTTCTGGGTTTATTGGTGTTCTGTTCAAGTAGTTTAGAGTCACATGTCATGTATGACAGATTTATTGTGTTTAAATGTTTACAGTTTTTTTTTTCTAAAGCAGGCAGTCTCTAGTCTAGGGTAGAATTACTTTTCTGGATTTTCTCCAAGAATAAAATTTCTCCATAAGAATGAATGGGCAGCAGAGAAGATGTTCCAAAAAGGTTTCAAGTACTTTCTTACTCTTGGAGATCACTGAGTTATTTCTCAATAAGCCCATAAAATTATTCAAAATAGGAAATAAAGGAACAAAATCGAGGAAGTATTCATCATCTCTGGCTTCTAATTTCTATGTTAATCATCCCATAACAAAATCATAAAGTAGGGACCTTGACATAACCCCACTCCTTCCTTTCTCACGCATAATAAATCAGGTCAGGCGCCAAAAAGCTCAAAGACATTTTGCAGTTAAAGATATTTAGACCTTGTTTGTTTTCAAGCTCATGCCATTTTTTCATTATCAATGTTCTAAAACTGGTTTTCATTTCCAATAATCTTTTTGTATATAAGCATATAAGAATTTACAAAATGAAAAACAGAAACAGTTTTTGACAACTAAATAGGGTCCTAAGAGTTAGAATCTGGTGCAGTGTCAGAATTCCATGTTTTCATTCATTATGTATGATGAAAGTGAACAGTGATCCATGGAATTATATATTCCCATATGATAAAGGAAAAGGAATGGAAGAACATCACCTGAATCAAAAAAGCAGATCCTCTGGTCTCACTGTCATCACAAGATCCAGCAATAACATGAACATCTTTGTTTTCCAGACTGAAAAAGTCAGCTCCTCTAGCCCGCACCTTCCCATCAGCATTGGATAGAAATTGTGAAGAAACGTGACCATTCTCTAAGTTGCTGCCATAAAACATCTGTGGATTTTCATGTTTTACTGATCTACTGATAGAAGGTTCACTTGATTGAGATTTACCAGCAACAGATGCATGCTGCTCATTCTCATGTTCTAACTCTAATACCTTACGCCTCTTCACAGAAAAAGGCACCAAAACCTCCTCTTTGCTAGACTTTTTGTTCAATAAAATATCACAATTCAAATCAACTGTTTCGCAATTTTCATACTGAAAATTTTTCCTTCCGGAAATTAGAATTTTTTTCTCATCACTTCTGGTATCAGTTGAATGTGACCATTTCAGAGTATGATTTCCCCCAGAAGATGTCAGAGAAGAATGATTTGCAGGAAGAAAATCTCTCAACTGGCTTGCAGTGCTGCTTCTTTTAACTTTAGGTAGAGATGATAAAGATCCTATGGAGAAAGCTCTATCCCCAGGTGCCGTCTGTATAAGCAAATTAATTGTTAACAGTTAATAAAGCAAAGAAAAGTGCAAGAATATTATGGTGAATGAGAATATAAAAGAATTTCAGAGAATAAAAATTTTACCATAACAAGTTTCTCCAAGTCAAATTTGTCGTTAGACTCTGCAATGTTCATCTCTGCTCTGTTTCCTGCACATGTATGTTTATTGCAAGTTGCAGGAGGAATAGGATGCATATTAGACAACATATCAAGCAGAAACATGCTGTAGTACAAATATACACAATGAGAGAGGTTGGTTACTACAATCATACTTTTTATGACCCAAATTTTCTTGCAGTCACATTGTCTTCTTTAAGTTTCAATCACAAGTATATCCATCTCAATATAAAGTGACAGAGGGCATTATAGATGAGTTACCATAATGTGAACGTTCTCCATTTCCTTCCTTTCATCTTGATTATAAAAGATAGCAATAAAGAGAGTGTGTCAAACCAATTATTTATCAATGTTATCATCTAGATTTTGATTACTAGTATAGGTATGTCAGAGAGAATCCAATAATCTCTTAGAATTTAAAGTATTTAAGAAACTTTTTGATACCTTTTCATTCTACATACCTTATTTACATCACTACTTATTTTAATATTAGAAAATATCACTTCTCATAAGAATAATAACTTAAAGTAACTATCCCACATCTTAGAAACTACCTGATGTTGAAGAAGATACTATAGTGGATATATTTCAATAATAAGATATATTTATGTATGTGATGTTTATATATATTGACTATCATATTTTATTATTTTATTAGTTTATTATTATATAACTAGAGTTTTATTAGAATAGTAATATTATATAATTATAATTTTAGTAAAATAATAATTTTCTTATTAGTATGTTAAGAATTATATAAATATCCTAAATTTAACAACCTAAAAGATGAGAAATAAACTTATTTTTTTTCCAAAATCAATATGGTATTAGAACCAAATAAAACTATTTTAATATTTTAATTTCACAATTTCCTTCAAATCGTAAAATAGGACAATAAACTGGGTTGGTCTTCATTTATCCAGATCTAATCTTATAACCACCTTAAACAGTGTTGGAGACTCACCGCCAGCCTCCTCCTGGCTTGGGTTAGAGAGAGTCATATCAGATGGAGAAAGGTGTTGTCTATTCAACACCAAAACCAGTCTCTCCCTCAACACCACAAGCGGCAGCGGCATCCGGCAGCGGAGGACGAAACAACTGCTCTGTCCGGGGGAGACGAATCGCGTGGCAACTCACAAGGCCAAGGACAAGAGCCGATTCTGTGAGCAGTGACCAGATCTGCATGCAGCGGAAGAAGACCAGACGAAACGCACGATTTGGTTGCAAGTGCTCGTCGACGCGGAAGAAAACGAACCGTGCAGCAAAAAACCCTATCTACTCATGCGGCAGCCACGTGTAGCAAGGATCTAAAGAAATCCTAGCCACATGGAGCCAGAAGCGAGAGGTCATGCAGGCTAGAGAAGAAGATCGGCTGAGAGGCGGAAGAAGCACAGTAGTGCGTGACGCAGACCACTCCAATCTACCCTGTCCGCACTTGATCGAGTCAAGCCGTTATGAGCCAAGCTTAAGCTAAGCCAAATT